CAGTAGGAGAGCCCAAGATCTGATCCCGGTTGACAGAATATGCCGGGGGCAAACCATAAAGAGCCATGAGCATGAAGAACGTGTTGCGTTGCTCAAGTTCTTTAGCAGGATCTGCAGCAGGCGGCAACAGTTCATTGAAATCATGAAGGAGGCCCTGAACTTTTCCCAAGTAAGCAGACATAGAGACATCAAGTTGTTGAGCAGCAATAGTAGTGATCAAATTTTGACAAACCCCATAGAGGCGCTGAGTGTCATTGGTATAAAGTGACTTGGCCTGACGCCAAACAGACTCACAAGTGACGTGAGCACGAAAAATCTGCTTCAAGGACGAGTGGATGGTAGACTTGATGATGCTACATAACTGAGCATCAACCTTTTTCCAATGAGGGCGTACATCTACCGAGATGGACTCAGCCTTAGTAATGAGATGGTCAGTGTAGTCCTGTCCATCAAGCCAAAGTCGGAGATCAGAAGCCCAAGAATCATAATTGGAGCCATCCAACTTGTCGACGTGCAGCGGAACATTAACATAGTTAGAAAAAACAGGCGGGTCAGCCTTTTGAGAACCCTTGGATGCATCGTGGGGTGACAAATCAGCCATGGGTTACCTGAAACAAAAATGAACAGCAACGAAAAGCAAAGAAACGTCTGTGAATAGTGACCAGCAAGGGAAAAGACACCGTAGGAAGCCGAAACGAAGTCGAAACAACAAAGTGAGGGCAGATCCAAGTGCGCAAGGAGAAGACGAAGGGAACCGTGGTGGTACGACGGCCAACCGGAGTGGGACGCGCCGCTGCAACAAAACGAGTTGCAGCCGCTGTTTGACGCGCGTGAGAGCGCGTGTAGGAGGATCTGAGGATGGGTCCTGGACAGAAAGAAGCGTCTTCTCGTGGCGATCAGATCGATATGGGTTTCACCGGAAAAATCGCCGGAAAACTCGCCGGAGACGGCAGTCAACGGCGGTGGACGGCGGTGGACAGTGGTGCCTAATGGCGGCAATGATCAGACAGGTCCGTAGACGATATATGGACGCCGGAAACTGACAGATATGACTGTTTCCGGAAAAAATAATAATAATATTTTACTCAGCAGAAAGTGGTCCACCGGAAAAAAAAACGCGGATTAGGTTTCCTTTTATTAGGCTCTAGATACCATGTTAATTATCAAGAGACAAGAGGTATTCATTGTAATCCTTATTATATTGAACTACACAACATTGGTGCTATTATATAGCAAACCAATTGAAGAATACAAAGAGACACACTCGATGTGGGACTTCTATACTATGTATACTCAATGTGGGACTTCTATACTATGTACAGCAACAGAGACTAAACAGATCCATTCAGGCAAACATCACCAAGACATGGTGAACACACATCCAAACAGCAGGAGATCCAAAAAGAGGATAAGCCGTAGTGGATGCACAACCCCTTAGAGTGGTGGAACCAATGCATGAAAAGGGAACTGAATAGACTTGGAGAAAGGCTGGCAACAATCTTTGCCGAAGTTCTTAAGTTGCTTCCAGTAAATTAGGCTCATAGGTGAGGTATGACAGCTTCCATTGATAAGCACATGGCAGGTCAAACGGTTAGCTTCTGGTGGCAGGCAACCAGAGGATGAAGAACCATCTGGGACAGACACATACTCCAATAACAACTAGGAAGGTACAGATCTAGCACTAGACCGCCATTGGTCAATGGGAGACTTTGTGGTGATGAGACAAAGCACACCATGAAAAAACACCAGGGGAAAGAAAAAAAGGCATCATGAGGAGAATAACACGACAGGAGAGAGTGTTCCTGGAGAAATTAGGGGTTTCAAGGTCTCCAACATTGGCAAATAAGACAGAACAACTGCAAGAAGCCAAGAACAGAGTCCTAAAAGATCTAAAGGGGATGATAGTGCTGCAGGAACAAAGACACAGTAGACGAGGTAAAAGAGAAAGGTTAAATACACCCATCATTAGTGACTGCAAAAATAAACACAGCTACCGGAAACTAAAGAAGACAGGACAACATAGGGAACCTGCAGCAGAAAAAAGTGATAGGATCCAGTCATGGAGGATGATACCATTGTGTATATGGGCCACATCTTATTTATGGCATCAAAAGAATCAATAAATGGAGCAATCAAGGGTGCTAATTAGGAGCAAACCAGTAGTCTAATCTTCGCTAACTATATATTACAACATAAATGCTAATATTCTATAAGTAATAAATAAAAAGGATACGCAAATGTACAAATTAAACATTCAAAAGTGTATTTGCATTTGAGGGGAAAAAGTGCATAATTCATTAAGAGTCTTTAATTGCTGTTTAATAGTAGTAGTTTGTCATGAATCAACTATCCCAAAAACTTAAGTCATTGAGTAAAGGCACACGAATGCAGTGCATGCAGAGTCATCGACAGCCTCACACGCCACGTTGGGCCGAGGTTGGTGAGCGTATGCTAGCACTTGGTCAGGGCTTGCAGGTGCGAGATCAACCAGACAAGTACTATTTTAGAAGCCCTGGGAGTGAGACGAGGCAGTGGTGGCATGTGAGGAGGCATATGGCTGCTGGATGTTGTGCTACAGATCCATGGGTTGTGGAACCTTGCCAGTAAATTTTCTGGTGGCCGGAATTTGAATTGCCAGCATATGCTCGCCGGAATGAAGCCTGGGAGATGGACTCACCAGTATTGAGGCGCGTGATAAGGAAAAGGGCATTGTGGAAAGGACACAACTGACAGTGGTGGGCGGTGACCAAAAAACTGACAAAATTGAGAAACAAACAGCATTTCTAGGTTTGTGGAGCAGCAGCTGGCAGAAAAGCCCATTACCAAAGATGAACCAGAGAGAAAAGGGTGACAGAAATTTGTGCACAGCCGGATAAGAAAAGAATCATGGAGATAATAACATTGATACAATAAAGTTTCAGACTTTAGGAAACTCAACAACGAAATAATGATGGGACAAGTCACGGAGGATTGTGCCACCTCTTGATACCATGTTGAAATTATAGGGATTTAGGTAGAGAGGAAGAAAAGAGAAACAACATCAACATCAACTACAACTTTATCCCAAATTAATTGGGGTCAGTGGTAGATGAACCCAAGTAAAAGATACGAAAAGGTTGAAAAAAGATAATAAATAAAATAAATAAATAAATAAAATAGTAATAATATATAAAAGTAATAAAAGAAGGGGAAAAGAAGAAGAGGGAGAAATGAAGAGGAAAAGGACTAAAAAGGGACCATCTAGAACATAGAAATAACAACGGGTCTAACCCTCCACCATGCTTATAGCTTTTCTCCTTTCCGTTCTAAGGCACACCGTCCGCCAATCTATATCCCACTCCATTAAGTCTTGTTTTACTACCTTCCCCCAAGTAAGTTTCGGTCTACCTCTACCTTTCTTTGTGTTGAGCTCTTGGTAACAAACTTTTGTTCTTACGGGAGCATCCAGGGGCCTTCTCATTACGTGTCCAAACCACCTCAATCTATGTTCTCCCATCTTTTCATCCACCTGTAGTACTCCTACCTTTCGTCGAATATCTTCATTTCTTATCTTATCCATTCTCGTATAACCACACATCCACCTTAACATCCTCATCTCTGCTACTCCCATTTTATGTTCATGTTGCCTATGTACTGGCCAACATTCAGCTCCATATAGCATTGCAGGCCTTACTGCTGTTCTATACAATTTTCCTTTTAACTTAAGGGAGATTTTGCAGTCACACAAAAACCCAGATGCACTACGTCATTTCATCCACCCTGCTCTGATTCTATGATTTACATACTCATCAATCTCTCCACCTTTTTGCAAAATGGATCCCAGGTATCTAAAAGCATCTTTCTTGGATACCTCTTGACCACTTAGATGCACAGGATCTTGGTTTACATCTCTTACCAGAGAAAACTCAACACGTCAAATACTCAACGTTGCTCCGACTTAACCTGAATTCTTTAGATTCCAACGTGCTTCTCCACAATTCAAGTTTTCTATTAACACCGTCTTTGTTCTCATCAATAAGCACAATATCATCAGCAAAAAGCATACACCATGGCACTTCCTTTTGAATATCTTTTGTTAGTTCATCCATAACTAAGGTAAAGAGATAAGGACTTAGAGCCAAACCTTGGCGTACACCTACTGTGATAGGAAAATAACTTGATGTTCCGTTACAAGCTTTCACACATGTAGTAGCCTCATCATACATATCCTTGATTGCCTTTACATACTTTGATGGTACTTTTTTCTTCTCAAAAACTCACCATAAAACTTTCCTTGAAACCCTATCATATGCTTTCTCAAGATCTATGAACACCATATGTAAGTTCTTCTTCTTTTCTCGATATCTTTCCATTAATTGTCACATCAAGAAAATGGCTTCCATGGTACATCTTCCTGGCATAAATCCAAATTGATTTACAGAAACCTTTGTATCTCTCCTCAAGCGATGGAATTTGTATAGATTTGATGTGTTATAATGTGATACAAACCAACAAAACACTAATCCCTATTTATACTAATATTAAACTCCAAATTCTAAATAAATAAGGAAATAAATCATGAAATACATAGAAATAAAGCTAAGAGATTGTATAAGATACTCTAAACTATTTAAGATACAATCAAGATATTATGAGATATTTTCCAAATATCCTAGCATTGACTGAGAGGTCACAAACTTACGTGTTCAAATTCCAAAAATAGCCTCTTTATTGCAATGCAAGCGAAATGCTGCATACAATAATTTCCCCCACCCCTACCCTCACAAGTTGAGGTTTAATGGGGAGTGATGTTTTATTCTTACAATTTTCTATCTAACATAGTTCATTAGAATCTAATATTAATAGAAAAGTCAATTATAAAGAAAAAAAAATGCATATTTTTACTTCAAAGAGAGGGAAGTTTTAACATGTACATACACTTGAGAAAGTCTATTGCAATGATAATGCCATAATATTTTATGATCAATGAAAACAATGGTGTTTAGTGCACCTTTGCTTACATCCATACAACGACCAACAGTATCTCTAGGGTCTGCATCATCATGGGATAAAAAAGACTCAACATTGTCATCAAGAGATCCATCCTCCACAAAACGGTCCACATCAGCCTGCAATTCAAGATCCTTATCATGCCACTGCCAAAATGGAATGGCAATGAGTCTACATGCAAGGAACTTATTATTCCTTCCATCAATTGTATCACACAGAAGAACCACTCACCAACTGATTTGAAGGTGAAGTAAGAGCTCCAGCGCCATCAGTGCCAAACGTCATAAGATGCTTTGAAGAACTACCACTATGAGGTAGAGCAGGCACCGATATCACATCGCCAGGCGTATGCGTTGAGGGAGTTGAGGGTGCTGAACTTGGAGACGGGCCTGCAGTATTTGCTGTTCCTGAGCTATTGGCAGGACCAGAAGCTGATACAGGCTGCTTTCTCTTTCTCCCAGTCTGATTTTTGGAAACCTTAAAGTTCGCTCAGAACAAACCATGTCAGGAACCTATTTCAGACTCTACATCATATATAGGGACAGAAATTTATGCTCATGTGACATAACAGAAAATATAAATAAGTAAATCATTATTGCGTGACAAGTCACCAAGCAATTTCTTTCACATAAAGGGTTGAAAAAATAACTTTCAAAGAAACAAACAAGCAGTTGAAGTTGCATTTCCCATTTTTAAATGCCCAAAAAAGAAAAACCCACTTCTTTTGTTGTTTTACTAATGTATCATCACAGATCTGTTCAGAAGGCTTCATAAAATCCTTCGCCAACTATTCAATTTTACAAAACTTCAGGTTAAGAAAATTATATTTGTAATACTTGTACTCAAGCAGCTCAGTAATGGACAAGTAAACAAATTCACTATCCCTTAATAAATTTCCAAACTGCTTCCTAATCCCATTGCAATGAAATTCTCAAAGTCTCCCAAAATAAATCCGTTGTAGCGTCCAAAATTATGAGAACACATAATAACAATAAATTTAAAGAGCTTAACATGAAATTTAAATATATAAGAAATAACTTAATTGTTACATCAGAATTTCATGGGTTACTCATTATATGTTAAATTGTCAACAGCTATGCATCCTTTTACAAGTCAGAAGATATATATTGGTATATTGGCCAATGATTCCATAAGGTAAAAGGAACTGAGAAATTATGCATAGCTCAATTGCTCAAATATGCATGGGGTAGTGGCAACCATAAAAGGACTGACCTGATCATTTCCTCTAAAGGAGTTTGACATGCTACCATCAACAGTGACACTGCCACCACCTCCCCCTACTTTATCTTGCTGATGCATGTTATGATTTGAAGACTGAGATTGCTGATTTGAGAGAGCATGCTGTTGAAGTTGCTGCTGCTGTGGATTGGTGTTCTGCTGTTGTTGATGTTGATGAAACTGAGCCAGTTTCAACTACAAATACAAAAACTTTCAGAAGATGCATCTCATGAAATTTGCGGTAACTGTAAGAAATTCATAAACAGAACAGTTAAACAAATAATGTGAGGACTAGCACCTTCATTAGCATATCGGTATCACCACGAGGAAAAGGAGGACCACTCGCTTGAAGAGGTGATCCAACACTTGATACTACATCACCAACAGGATTTGAAAGACCATCCTTACTTGGGCCCATATTCCTATTATTCAGTAGCATTCTGAGTCTTCTACTATCATCACTGGCAGATGGTGATGCCAAATTTTGTTGTGCTAGCATAAGCTGTTGCTGATGCTGTGGTGACAGCATTGGAAGTTGATGAAAAGGCTGAGGAGCCTGTATGAAAGGTTTTTGTTGCGGGAGTAGACCAGAACGTAGTTGATCCAACCCCTAATAAGGGATAGAAAAAGGTAAATAGCAAAACTTAATAACTCAATTCCTTAGTTTCATCATTATATGATTATGTTGAAGTGACAAAGAACTAAAGAAGTCAGTAGGGTTGTTGCTAGAGACTTCAGATAATAGGCCACCATTTCTATCGGACGAGAGAAGTTTTGTAGGGTTAACAAATACAAGCAAAGAAGGGCAACTTCTGCCACTTGGTAATGGCTTGAATGGTTTGGGTGGGATAAGGTAAGGGTAGAGATCATAGGTTCAATTCCCATGTACAACATAAAAACAAGAGAGGAAGGCTACATCCTATCTCACTTTCTGCTAAGAGAGTGCAGCAAACCATAATTTGATGAAAATATTATTTTTTACAATGATGGTCAAATTTAGGAAGACATGATTTTATCCGCCACCAGTAACATTTAATTTAAATAAACATTGAAATAAAGAACTACTCACAGTGAGTGGCCACCCTTTCAGAGTCAAATTGTTCCTACCTTGATTCGACCCTAACACAAAAAAATTCCCTGTTAATCTGTGTGCAAGGATAATGATAAAACATCATAACACTTCCAAAATATCTTCACCCAACAGGGTGATGAATAAATTGCAAAGAACATACTATATGAAAACAAATCCCCATCACATGCCTGCAAACCAGCTTCCAAACTAATAACACAAACCAATTACATTAGAGTAAGAACATGATGAGAGAATACCAGGAATTGCTATTAATGATCCTTCAGGACCCGCAGCTCTGGGATTTAAAACAGGATAAATTTCACTCTTTATATCCTGATTCCAAGTTGCCAGTCAGGGAAAAACAGCTGATAAGAAATATAGTAAGAGATGATATCATTCCACAAACAATAGCGTACCGTAGTAGACCCTGGTAATTGCTGACTACAAGCTTGAACTTGTGGAGACATCGCACCAGCAGCACCATGCAAAACTTGTCTGAAATCAAGAAAATTTGGAGCTAAAAAGTCAACATCCATTGCTATAAAGAATACCGGATGCTAAGAGATTTATTTGGATGCCAAATAGGTATCTAAAAAAATATTAAAAAAAATGAAGCAAATAACTTGTAATTCTTCAAGGTCATAGAAGTATCAGACCCGATTTAAATGAATTATTGCAATTCCAGTCCTTCCCCTCAAGATTAGACTATATGGCAGCTACAAAGTTGTAAAGAACCACTTCAATTCAAAACCTTAAAGTGTTGGGTGAGAGCCTTTTTAATGGTTTATATTATACTCTAATACACCCCCTCACACAAGAGCCCTTTGGGTTTGAAGTATGGATATTGCACAGGCCCAATGTTTTTGGTTTTACCTTGTGCTAATTTTAATTCCACTCAAAAGTGGAGGGCGGTGAGGATCGAACTCGTGACTTTGTGATTACTGAAGCTCTGATACCATGTAAAGAATCTTTACCTTCTTGTTTCACATTGTTGAAGTAAGTTTCAACTCATGCTATATAAGATCAAAATTAAACTAGCTCAGCCACAACAACAGACTAGTCAAGCATAACTAACTACCTTCTTTTTCAGGGCATATATCATACTAATTTAAATACAAAAACAAAAACCAATAGAAGCTAAGGTCGAAAGAAAATCACCCTGAAGGCTGGCCAGTAGCCGCAGATGACTTCAATATTGAAGCATGATTTGGGTCCAAGAGTTGGTCTCCAAATCTTTGCTGTATAAAATACCATAAGATAGCTATGATTATACATCATAAAGAACGAATTCATTTTATAATTAAAAAAACCAGAACATATCCCTACCTTCATCGCTGCATCTTCCAAAGAATCCCTCTGAAGGGGCAGTTTTAACCTTTCCTCATACATCTTTGTTGCTAGTGCATTTGCAGTACTAGGGTTTCCAACTAACCCATTTGTACCACCATTTAAGAGATGAGCCCTATCTCTACTCTGCTGTTGTTGTGGTGGTGGCTGCTGATGATGTGGATGTGATTGCTGTTGTTGTTGCTGTTGTTGTTGTTGCTGCTGCTGCTGCTGAGCATGCCTCTGTAATAGGAGTTGTTGCATCTGCATGTGTTGTTGTTGTTGCTGCTGCTGCTGTTGATTCTGTGACTGCTGAGGTTGTGGCTGCTGTTGTTGTTGCTGTTGTGACTGCTGTTGTTGCTCCCTGGCCTTAATTAACTGTGTCTGCAAAGGGAGTTTCCCAAACCATAAACTTCAAATGGTACCTCTGTTTTTTTCCTCCCTCAGTAATTCCTTTGAAAAATTGTACATCCCAGCATGCCAACAATTTTACAAGTGCAGCAAAGATATTGAATAATTACATATATAGCTAAAGCTGACTAAACTAGTCACCCAAATTGAAATATTCTTATTCCTAGACCACAAAATACCCTAGTATATAATTTTTACAGTAACTAAAGCAATCAAAGCAGACCTGTATGGATTATTTTCCTGTTTAGCACGCAGATAACATACAAGGGCCTCTCCAAATATAAAGGAGACCTAAATTGATCATGGTACATTTACCACTCCTGTTTAAACCCCGACTAGTGAGGGTGGGGTGAGGACAATTCTTGTACGCAACTTTACTCGTGCCTAATTGCAAAGAGACTATTTCCCGGATTCGAACCTGTGACGTTTCAGTCCCAAAGGAATAGTTTTACCACTACTCCAAGCTCGCCCTCTTTTTTATCATGGTACATGTTGGAAAGAATATCTTTAGAATATCTTTATTATTTGTAAAGATCTATTTCCTTATTTCATTAGGATTTAAGTTAGGTATGGGCTAAACTCATTAGTGTTTCTTTATATATTGTACTCTCCTGAATCAATTCTATATACAGATTTATTTCAATGTTCCTCTTGTCTCTTGTTATTTTACAGTACATTTAAAAATAGAAAGTAAAAAAGTCTGGAGATGAAAAAGAAATGTAAGCTGTCATCACAAATTGGAGAAATATCATTAAACTAGCAAAGGAATATGAATTTATAATAGGTCCAGACGCGCCTCATACACCTAGACTCATCAAGTACCCTAGTAAATTTTTTTCCTAGTTTATGAAAATAAGCATTCATAGTTGCCTTCACCACAAGTTTACAATACAACGTGAAAACAGTTTTCTGTATGCAATTTATGATTTTATGTCGGTGAAAATGAAAACATCCACAACTACTAAATACTCATAATCATCAGTAGACAAATAACTGAAATAAGCACGGGCTCATACAAGATATTTTTGAAAATATACTGCTAGCTACCTTGTCTGCAACCTGGAATTAAAGGATAAACATCATTCTACATTCTAATTTAATAAAAGCTGATTCTAAAGTGAAGATCCCAACTTTCCCTAACAGCTAAACTACACATTGAAAGCGAGAAACAGCTAACTAAATCATTCATTAGTTCGGCACAATTTAGAAATTATAACCGATTGAATGTATAAACTTGCTTATTGAATACATGAACAGATACAGCTAAAGTTATTGAACTACCAGTCCATCTCAATACCGATTTTACTTTGCTGCACTTCTAGTACAATCATCCTACTCATATTTAGCACGCCAGAAGGATACTAAACAAGAAAAAACAATGAAAAGTTTGAAACAAACCTCAATGTAAGATGCAGCAACCTCTGAGTGCTTCTCATTTGTCCTGGCAATAAATATGTCCCAAAAAACTGACCACCACTCGAACAGAAATCCTCCCGGGGCATCAATAGCTGCAATCCCATATTACCATTACAAAAAGCAACCAAATTAATAAACGAACAAAACAGAAACATTAAATCCAACTACTTTGTTTCTACGAAACTCACCAACAGGATCCGAGGACACTTTCCCTTCGGCTTGAAAAGCCTGAGCTGAAGCCTTCAAATCCCTCTTCACTAGGTAATCATGGATGTAAACATCTAACCTGAAATCTCATAGCAACATAGGTTGCATATTTACATCAAGTATACCAAAAGAGCAGATGAAAAAACCCCGGGAACACAAATATCAACGACCCAAATGCAGGAACCAAAGAGTTCAACAACCAAAAGTGACAATCTATTCAGTGTTAAAAAACCTTATACTTACACAAGCTAACAAACCCTAACATACCCATCAAAATATTGTCACACATTTATAAAATACAACACACACAACACCAAACTGAGGGAGACAAACCAATCCCAAATCAACAAAAGAAACCCACAAACCCAGAACCAAAATCAACAAAAGAAAGCAAAAAAATTGAGAATGAACAAAAACCCATGTACCAAAACTGATAAAAAACAAAAAATGAACATCATTAAATTTTGCAAAAAATATAATAATAATAATAATAATAACCAACAACAGCATCAACTATAACACTTACATTTTATCAGCTTCCCAGTTACTCTGAGACATGCTGACACAACAATATTGACGGGTACCGAGGGAGAGGAAATGAGTTAGTTTGTGAACTCAGCAGTAGCTGTTGCACGAGTTTTTCTTGTAGCAGAGAGACACAGAAGCATAGGAAAAAGAACAGACAAAAAAGGAACTGTAGAAAGCTAAGGAAGGAAGGTACAACAACACAAGGGGAACAAAAATAAGAGGATTTGAGAAGAAAAATCCAAAGGGTGTGAACCGAAGCACGCTTCAAAGTTTCAAGGAAAAATACAGAAAGAAAAAATAAAAGTTAAGAGAAGGAACAAGGGTATCTAACAACTAATTAGAGTTACTATCAATAGTTTGAATCAACGTAACCAATCTAACGAAAGGAATCAATTGATAATAATATTGATAGTAACTAATTAATTGTTATAATATTCTGTTCGAAAAAATAATTATGAATCCAAAATACAAAGTACATCATGTCATTTATATCTTTTAATTAAAAATTGTTGAGATATGAAAGTAATACATAAAATAAATAATATAAGTAATACATAAAACAAATAATATAAGTATAATTTTTAAATAATAAAAAGTGTCATGTCTGATGAGGATAAAGTGGATCTTCTTTTCCTTTGTTCAGAATCATTAGTCAATATCTAAAATAAATTTTATAAGAGTTATGTTGTTAGGAAAAGTAATTATATAATGTTATAGAAATTCATTTTGCTGTAATTTTTTTTTTTCTTCAAAAAGTGTGGGCCTCACAAAATATTGTATGGGTAAAAAAATTTATTATGTTATATTAAATGACAAATACAAATCACATCATAAATATGGGGTAAAAGTAAAAAGTGTAGTGATAGGTGAAGATGCTTTTCTAATTTCTATCCAAAATTGAATTTTTGTTTGTGAGCTTATTTTTGGTCTTTTATTTTTACTTCTTTTTAATTTTTTGGTGCATTCTGGAATTTTTATTTATTTTCTTTTTAGTATTTGTTTTTTTTTACAAGCTTTGGTGAATGAAAGGTGCTGTTGGAGATACTTAATTTGCTAATTTGTCCCTATGTTTCTACAAAATTATGAGGAAGGCATACAGCTCGGGACTTTTTCTTGTCCGAATGATTGAAATGCCCTTAACGTTGTCAACTAATTCGGGGTTAATAGATTTTTTTTATTTTTTTATAACAAAAATAGTAGTAAAAGTAAATTATTAAAAAATGCTGGTTGTTATGAAAGATACTTCTACGAAACTGCATACAAATGATTGGGCCTCATTCTATTAGTGTATTATTTAATCAATATATGATTTACCGTATCTTAGTTCAAAAATTTAAATTTTTAGGTGAGGTTACATTAATAATTTCATATATTTCTTAATACATCTACTCACAAAAGAATCCATTGAATTTAAATAGTGAATAATACATCAAATTCAGTCTACTTATGTTAAGAAATTTCACACAAAAAAGTGGGAGCAATAAAGATCGAATCTGAGACACGAGGCTTTAATACCATATAAAAAAAAATTCAATTCAAAACTTTAAGTTAATGGGTAAGGATTTTTTTTAATAATTTATATTAAGTTATAATGGTTAGATTCACATTTGGTTGAGAATAATATAATAATACCTAGGACCATATTCGGTTGAGTGTTTTGGTTGAGAATAATATAACAATACTTAGGACCATATTCGGTTGAGTGTTTGACACATTCAAAAGGAATTTTGAAGATGTTAATGATAATTGGTATAACAAGTCAAAAAATTTGTGCTTTAAGGGGGCATTTGGTTGAGGAGAAATTTTATGAATAATAGGGAAATGTTATTCATAGGAAAATAGTTGGGAATGAGTTTGGTAGAAAAATGTAAACAAAGTTGTTTGGTTGAAAAAAATTGGATGGGAAAATTAGGTAATTTTTATAAAATCTATGTTTGGGTGTAGGTAAAATATAGATGGGAAAAAAGTTGCTATTACGAAAAATAACCTTGTTATAAACCCGTTATTGAAATTTTATTGTTATATGTTAAGAAAGTTCTCTTCTTTAAATCCTTGTTTGTATGTTAAGAAAGTTCTCTTCTTAAAATCCTCTTATTCAGCTTTCTTCCTTGCGTAGTGCAATTCATGTGCAGAAACGGGTTCCTTTCTTCTCGACCTTGGGATGGGGTTATCAATGGATCTAAAAGTTGAAGCTTTTCCTTCTTTAGGTTTCTTGTACAAAACAGGGAACTTCCTGAATGGATCTGTGCTGGAACCTCTTCCTTCAGAGGCGCTACGGAACAATAAGAAGTCCCTCAATCTCTATTTTCTGGAACTCTTGGAAGAAGAAGTTGTGGTGGAAATGGAATCCTCTTTGTTGGTATGGGGTTGGTGTGGTTCTTCCTCCCATGTGTGGTGGGATATTTTGTAAGGAGAGTGTGATCGCGTGACTCTACGACCCGAATTCGATGAAGAAATCACAGATGCTGCTGGAGTCCTATCTCTCCATCTTCTCTCTTCAATGGAACCAAAAGGATAACCGGAGGACTCTTTCTTCTTTCTGCGCGAGAATGCTTCGCGAATCATCTTCTTCCCTTGTGCTGTCGGAGATCTTTTGGGTCGAGTCAGAGATAGAAGTGGGCTTCTAGCACATTCCGACAACTCCTCCTCCTTCAAAGGTTTGATCTTGCCACCATCGAAGAGCTCTTCCGCCGAAAAAGATGATTTCTCTAATTCACGAACAATAAACGCGAAATATAGGCTCTTCAAAGATTTTCACATTCGCGCGCTCTTCAGAGGGTACGCTCGTCATCTGGTTATTAGACAATGTGACAATTTAGGTAGATAAGGCACAATACCACATCTTAAGTGGAAAAATTTGATCGGCTATTTCGATCCAAAAGACATGCAATATTAAGTTGTTGGCATAATGATTTAGGTAGGCAAATTTGAAAGCCGTTCAACCAAACATGGTCAGCTTACAATCCCGCTTCTAATTTGCCTATCTATCTCGTCATACTACTCCAACCAAACATACTCTGAATGTATGGTTTGTGATAAGGTTTGTGATCTTTTAAAGTATGATTTTCCCTAACCTAAATTTTTAATTTTTAATTTTTTTTAAACAATTTGCTACTATTTTATTATATGGTTAAGGCCTCATGTTTAAAAAATAACTAAAACTTGATTTTATTACGATACTAGCTTTTGGTCTAAAGTAATACGTAATAACGTCTTACATTTATATTGGGAGATATGGAATTTAGATCTATAACAAGGTTCAAAATTTAGATAAATACCAATTTTAATTATTAATAATGTTTTATTTAATGGTAATAAATATATTGAAATAGCTTTTTAATATTAATTATAACATTTAACTAATGTCAAAAAACTGTAAGGTCATTTATCAAACGTTCATTTTAAAAGACCATTTTGATATAGTTGATTATTAGAAAAACAAACTAATTACGAGACCAAAATAATTATTAACTTTTTTTTTTTTTTGGTGAACACTTTTTTTTGTAACTTAACTGTTAATCTTTCCATTTTTGACTTCTTTACTTCAATTCTTTCCATTTTTGACTTCTTTACAACCCATGTTTCAAAATGTCATTATCAGCTTTTTAAGAGATAGATATCAATTTAGATATCTATATTGATTTAATTACGGGTATAAAGTCGTCATAATCATATTGTCTGGCCTAATTTCAATACGTTTAAGACGAAAATATCATATTTTATGACCAAATCTGGCATTTTCATTTGGAGTTTTGAACTTAATTAAATAGTTAACTAGTGTAATTTTTTTATACAACTAAACATCTAGATCATCTGATAAGGGCTTATTCTAGCTTAATTAATGGTTTTGGGTTTAAATTATCATAAAAGTATTTTTGCACTTATTGCAGATAATTTATCTGCATTTACTCCCAAAATGACGTCGTTTTGGGATGAAATATTAAAAAATTATAATTATAAAGACTATAATAACCCTGAAATAAATTAAAATTACAAAAACACTATAATTTTCGCCCCAAAACGACGTCGTATTGGGCTTACTGCAGATAACTTATCTGCAGTAACTGCAGAAAAAGCGAACCCTTAAATTATTAGGTATGCAACTATATTAAAAACTTAGTAGGAAGAGCTTTAATATTCATGTGGTCCTATCAAGCTCGAATTAGATAATTGAGTAATCATGAATAGCTATATATAATACATTTGAAAAGAGAACGGGAGAGGGAGAGGGAGAGGAAAAGAGCAAGATGAGAAAAATTTTAGAAATTTTTGTGTCAATTGCCATATAGTATAGAGTATAACTCGACTTTTTAACTCATTTGGGTTTTTTACCCCTTTAATATATCAATTTGTTATTTGGTTGACGGTATTTATCAACAGGGGTCGTTTAGTGACGCGAGGGGAACTCAGCGTCACTAAGTGCCGCTACCCTCCCCCGCGTCACTCACATTTTTTTTTTTCAATTGAGTGTCGCTGCCCTCCCCTGAGGCACTCACGGGATTGTGCCAAGTGGCACAATCTCGTTAGTTCCGTTACCGTAAAACTTCGGAAAGTCATAACTTTTGACTCGGATATCCAAATGAGATGATTTTTTTTTTATTTGACGTAACTTTTCGAGATCTACGGAATGACACATCATTTGACATATTTTATCTACCATTAACATAGTTCAAATTTGCAACACTAGTTTCACTTTTTTACGGATTTGAACTATGTTTGTGAGAGATAAAACATATCAAATGAGGTGTCATTGCGTAGATTTCGAAAAGTTATATGAAATAAAAAAAAATCATTTGATTTGGATACCCGAATCAAAAATTATTGCTTTCCGAAATTTTACGGAAACGGGACTAAAGATATTGTGCCACGTGGCACAATTCCATGAGTTCCCCAGGGAAGGGGGACGACACTTAAATGAAAAAAAAAAAAAACTGAATGTGTTCACCAAGTAGAGATGAATACTATATGGTGGCGACAGGAAATTCTTTGGCACTGAATCAAGGTATTCTGGAGGAACAGATTGTTCCGGCCCGATATCGTCAAGAGCCACAATATTAGTACCTGCTCTTCAATCCCATTGGTTAATGATGCATGTAAGTATGATGATCTAACTTGCATCAGTATCTCAATTTCAATTCAAACATGGGTTTGATTCACACTAAAAAAAGATTTATTCTTTTTCACCTAATATATTTTTTCTTGCAACACAGCAACAAAAATTGGATT